CCTCACTCTGCTCTCCTTCTGCGCTGCTCGTGTTGTCCGAGACGCCTGCAGTAAACAATACTAGAGCTTGCATCACCAAATACGGGGCAACACCTGTTCGTCGCGCTCCAAGCATGCTAGAGTACTAGAGTGCATGCACACAACGGTTACCCCAGTCACCACCCACCCAGCAGCAGCAGCTTGATGTGGTAGCGCGAAGAGAGGCCGGATGCCGGCCGTAGTCTCCAGGGCTGCAGCTACATCGCAGACTCACGTCAGAAGCCTACCTAAGCGACGGGGCGTCACATGTTCCATGGTTTTGCCTGTCGCTAACCGCAGATGCATGCCCAAGATAGAGATGCAATCATCAAGACGGCTTCCACCAACTACCACGGCAACCTCTCTTGTCCGTCATGACGTAGAGAGGCTCACCCGATAGAATAAACAATTTCTGTGAGGTTGGACGTGAGACTGCTCCACGTGCCGCCCAGCCACTCTCGTGTTAGCTCGCCCCAGGCATCTCAGACGTCGGTGCACCCAACGTGGTCGCCAACACTGCCAGGATAGAGCGTCGTGCCCTCGCGCTCCCAGTCCGGCCCTTCACTCTGCTGCTGCCGCACACCTGCGCCACACGCCCTCGGCACCATGACTGAGGAGTCGTCTTCTGTCCGCTCGTCTCAGGGGTCCTCGCGCCGTGCGCCCAAGAATGTACGTGGGCTCTCTCTCTCCGCATCCCGCGCCCAACACCAAACAACCGTCACTGACACCGCATCCAATGCAGCCCCAGCAGCAGCTCTCGCAGATAGAGAAGTCCGTCACACACCTGCTTGTGGCCACCAAGCAGCTCCTCGGTGCGTCCCCGGCGCATGCAGCCCCGCATACACACGTGCTAACACGGTGCAGAGACGTTGACACTATGGTCGCGCGGGACCGCCACCGAGAGCGAGGTCTCGGACGTCTACGTGCGTCTGGGCTATGAGTTCAACATCGCGTCGCGCGCCTTCAACGCGATTGGCGTCGATACCAACGACCTCGGAAACGTTCCCGAACTACTGCGTGGCATACTGGAGGAGACGCTGAGCCAGGAAGCATCGCAAGCGAGCCTCGACAATTTCCTGCCGCGGATACGAGACATCATCATAAACCTCCTGCATGGCCTGAAGAAGAAGCAACAGCGGTTACGGCAGCGCACAGGAAGAGATGGCTCGCTCAACGGTGGGGGCAGTCCGCGCCAGGGCAGCGTTGGGAGTAGTGGTGATGTCGAGGAGCACCAACAACCGCGATCCGCAAGCACAAGACTGCCTTCAAGAGGGGACAGCCCGTCGTTTGGCGGCCCTGACCTCCCACCGCGCTCATCTTCGGTAGCTGGCGGCCGCGCCTCTCCGAGCAAGTACGATGCCCTCCCTTCGAACCCGAAAGCGAATCGCTCGACCACCGCAAGCCAACTATCCACCGACTCGTCCATTTCGAGCGGCACCGCCCAGCAAATGCCTGTCATTGCTCCGTATCCCGCAGACGATTCCATGCCCAAACCACCTGACCCCCCGCGGCCTAACTACCCCGTCGACTTCCCACCACCTCCACCTCCACCGAAACAGGAAGATGCGCTCGCGGCATTGCAAAGAGGTGGTGAGCTGGAGCGCAGGGCTTCGCGCCGATTTTCAGCATACCAGATCCAGAAGCATCTTGGAACAAATGGCATACCACTTCCACCAGTCCAGAATTCGCCCATACCGAATAGGGGTCGGGATGTACGCGAGTCTATGAACGCAGTGCGGACCAGGCAGTCCATGATGCACAGTCGCCAGCGGTCAAATCAGAGTCTCACACAACAGCGGCCTGCTGTGGAAACAAAGTTCTCCTTTGATCAGCCCAATGAGAGACGCATTTCCGAGGAAAGTTCGCAAAGCGCCACGCCGAGCATTCTGCCACCAAAAGAGTCGGGTCCTGAAGACAGTCCCGTCCAGAAGACCCCAGACGACAAGCTCGCGCAGCCGAAATTTCCAGAAGGAGATCAGTTCTCGCTGGGTGCGACGCTTAATGGTCCGTTATCAGAGCCAGCTGAGCTTGGAGCCGCTTCACCGGCGAAAGAAGACCCGCCCAGGCCTACAGCCAGCCGTAACAGCTCCTACAGAGTCAAGACGCCCTCTCCACAGCCCTCTCAGTTCATTCCAGAACAGTCACCTCAACAAGGGAAAGAGCTTACCTTGTTTCTCCAGTACAAAAGCAAGATCAAGAAATACGTCTTCACAGATGGTGCTGAGCTTTCTTCGGCCCGCCTGCAGCTCGCTTTTATCGAGAAGTTCGCCTGGGATACGCACCGTTACGGCGACCTGCCTGAAATCCACATCCAGGACCCCGTTTCCGGTGTACGATACGAGTTGGAGGACATCAACGACATCAAAGACAGGTCTGTACTTGTGCTGAACGTGGAGCAACTCGACGAAGTAAAGAGCCACATCGATGACAAGTTTGGCGGACTCAGCAAATTAGTGGAGAGCATCAAGACAGTGGTCGAGGACCAGCAAGCAACTATACAACGTGTGGCCGAACGTCAACAGCAAACGACAAAGGAGATTGCTGGTATATCAGCGGCACCTCTTTCTTCAGCTCGCAACTCCGCCCTGCTACCCTCTCGTCCCATACCGTTAGGCACACCCTCCGAAGCCAACATTACTTCAGCCACTCAAGTAAGCGAGGTGCAATCGCTACGCCGTGATTTGGCTGTCATGCGACAAACATACTCATCTTTTGTATCGGATATACAAGCTAGTATGTCCACCATACGCACAAAGGCCAGTGCTGTGAAGTCCACTGCTATCAAGGCTGCCTTGCCCGCACTCGATGGAGACAGCGGTCGCGCTTACATTAACGCTGGCAAGAAGGGCCTGCAAGACGACTCGGAGAAGATTGTCAACAGGGTAGATGACCTACAAGATCTTGTTGAAGACCTCAGAAAGGACGTCGTTCTGCGTGGCGTGCGACCTCTGCCCCGCCAACTCGAAACTACCGCCAAGGACCTGTCGACAGCCACTGCCGAGCTCAAGAAGCTGCAAGATCTTCTGGCAAAGGAGAAGCCTCTCTGGACCAAGATTTGGGAACAGGAGTTGCAGACTGTGTGTGAAGAGCGAGACATGCTCACTATGCAGGAGGAACTCGCAGCCGACTTGCAAGATGATCTCGAGAAAGCAGCCCAAACACTTGAGCTGGTCGAGCAGGCGACCAAACAGCAGAATCTTGAAAGCGAGAAAGAGTCTGGAAAGGGGATGCGTTCAGCTAGTGGCCGTAACATGCTCAACGCAGTTGCTCTCGACAAAGTTGTGGATCCACGCCAGGCCCGCGATGGAGTACTTGGAGAAGTCAAGGCCCTGCAACCAAACCATGAAGGCAGGCTCGAAGCCATCGAGCGAGCGGAAAAGGCGCGACAGCGGGATCTTGAGACGAGGAACGATGACGAGTTCAAGCGCGAGCTTGGAAACTTTGTCGAGGAAGGCAAGCTCAAGAAGAGTGGTGGCGTTGAAGAAGCAGAGCGCCTCCGCAAAGCGAAAGATGAGCGCGCACGAAAGGAGAACTTTGAGCGAGAAGCCGCAAGACAAAGAGCCAAGGCAGAAAAACAGCAGAGGGAAGCCGAAGCTGCTGCCGCTGCCGCTGCCGCCGCGGCTGCTGAACCAAACGGCGACGGTGCTGATGGCCAAAACGGAGAAGCGGAAGCTCCAGCAGAGAATGCAGAGGAGGCCAAGGGAGATGAAGGTGGTCCTGCCTAGACGCCTGCCATCTATTCCTAGCCTTCCCGTCTGTATTTGAGCTGATCCGTGGTCTTAGATCTTCCGAAAAGACAATTTACAATCCGCCCCTGGGTCAAGACCGGCGGCGTTCCGCTATCGATGCAAATGAGATTTGCCGCAGCTACGGGGCTGGACCTACCAGTAGCGGCAGTGTCGTCTACGTCTACGCCCACGTCTTCGTCTCCTTCTACTTCAACAGGGAGTACAGACCCGCTCATCTCAACCATCAGAGTCGTGACTAGCGCAACACAAATCGATGACACCTCTTCGAAATCGGAGACGGACGATATACTTCCGCCCACGCGACCAAGCATAAGCATTATGCCTAGAATACATCGCGATATACCAACATCTATTACACCAACATCCTATTCCGGCGACACGGACACACCATCGCCAATCCTTCCTCCGAATTTCGGCCCACGACTCGCAATCTCACGAGGTGGAACACCTAGAGCTTCTCACTCATATCGCACACCCAAGCCTTCTCACAGTTTCCACGGTCGCGACAAACCCAGCTCAGGTACATCGCCTGTACGTGCACGCGGCATGACTTTCCCCCGCGCCTCTCCCAGAGTGACCAAATCCAACTCGCAGAAGACGTTAGATGCCAACCCGCATACGCCCGAGAGTAGCAGCGCAGACAGTTTTTCACAAAGCGACAGCGATAGAGATAGAGACACAGATAGTGTACTCTCCTTCACCCCCAGCATGGGCGGAAAGAACCTGGCCAACTGGTTTTCCGGATTGTTGGGAAGATAGTAGAATAGCGTGTGTACATAGAGAGCAGCAATGGACAGAGTCCTATACGTCGTGTTCCCTTTCAAGGGAGGGGTGTATGGTATCTCTACTATGTAATTATTGGTGGTAGCATCGGTAATGGCGTTAGTGTTGGTAATAGGTTATGCATAGCGATCAAGGCGTTTGGGCACATTGGTATGAGATATGTTGGAATCCTAGGATGATGTTCAGATGTTGACACGCAGCATCGTGGGATAATGCAATGGATCACGTATCATCTCAGACATTTTACTCACCTTTGACGTATCCTGCAAATTGTCTTAGCAAGTGAAAGTGTAAGCACACTGACAAATGCCTAGATCAATCGGCTCATTCAGGGACAAAGCGCACGGTCACTGGCACACAGCAAACAAACGGTTCCAGACGAGAAAATTCCATGGGTTCGATTGATGAGATTCTTCTACTCCACGTTCATCACTAGACCTGAGTCTCTCAATGCAAATCGCCGTTATGTCGGCGCCCACTATCATCCCGGATCGCACATTGCACGATGTAATTATTGCCGCGCTCTCTCTCGAGACTCAGTCCAAGAAAGAAGAAGCCCTGACTGCGGCGCTCAAAATCTGGCAAAACCATGGCTACGGGACTTGCTCTCCTCACCTACTTGTCCACGTACTTCGAAACGTGTACAAGCTCCCAGAGCTACCTACGACACTCAAAGACCAGGACGCGTCAGACTTTGATACACTGAAAAAGGTCTGCAAAGAGCTCAAGTTTACATTATTCTTCGCGTCCGTGAAGAAACTGCTCGGCTGTAATCTCTTCGTGGAAATTCGCGGTGCCCGGAGATGGGAGAACAGCCGTCCCAAGATCGATCCAACCAAAGATCACACTATTAGAGTCGACCAGCTGAACTTGACGCGAGTCGTTGACTTGGAGGGAAAGCTGCGTGCATTGCGACTACCCGTGCGAGATACTGAAGTCATCCAGAAGGAAGCCTTCACACATGAGACTGCTCAGATTGAAACTGAGGTTGAAGGGAAAGAGATGGGTGGTGGTATGGAGGCTGAGCTATTTCACCAGTAGGGTCAGCCCATCTTTATACGTCTGAAGCTAACTTGATCAAAGACATTTCAAGACTGCACTTGTCATCATTCCTCCGCGCAATCTTCGCGCCTTCGATATTCGTAAGCGTTTCATGCTCAGTCCCGAAGGCAAAGGAGTCGAAGCAGCGCTCTTCATGGTCGATGGATGGGAATATGCCAAAGCGGAACCTATCATTAAAATGCTCGATGACGCAACGGAGAAAGTGCGAGCACCCGACGCAGGCCCGGCTAGTGTTTTGCGGCTGCGGAAGCTCTGCGAGCTGTTACTAGAGTACCATGATCCAGGCGATTACCGAAAAGAGGGGCATACTTTCATGTGCGCAAGGTTCCCCTTGATACCCGGGGAAGTGTTGGACCAGCTGACCGCTGTGTGCATCGAGTTTGGCTCCGCGAATCTGTGGCAGAAGGCTATGGAACAGCTCAGTGCCTCTTTCCGACGCGAGGTGCGCGCCGATCGGACCATCGATGCTATAGGTCGCTTGTTGTACAAGACACAAGATATCGAGCAGTTGAAGAAGGCGGACGGGTTCATCAAATCCCAGAACAGTATCAAAGACAAGATGGAGATGTGTGGTAAAGTTCAGGCAGCGTACGATCGAGCTGGAGATGCAGACGAGTAAGTGATAATGAACTGCTTTAGCGCGGCAGTTGAAGTACTGATAACATTTGTAGTGAGAACGCTCAGTCAAACATACCAGCTGCCATGGCTACCTGGCGAGCTTCCATCATCCGCGATACAGTATCTAACAGTACCTTCCTTAGCCTCAGAGATTGCCTACCACTGCTTGAAAACGGCGGCGAACTCAACGACGAGTTTCTCGACAATACGCTTCGTTCCATGGCCAACAACTCAAGTTTCGCCGGCATGGAGACCTTTCTCAATGACATAGCCAAACTCAACGGCAAGATCCCAGACGCCGATATTCAACGCTACTGCAACATTGTTTTCGAGCCGACAGCCTCGGAGTTCATAACTATCAGTCGGTATGATTTGAGTCCCATGCGAAAGATTCTACAGCACAACCTGTCAGTGGCTGAGCCTGCGATACGAGAGTACTGTCTCAAGAAGCTGCGTGCGCCAACGAACATAGCAGAGGGTCGCAAAGGGAAAGTCAAGGACGACGAGGTTGAAGATTTCGTTACCATATCACAAACTTTTGGAGAGGAAGTTCCACCCCTTCTTCTCCCCCATCTTGGTGGATTCCTAAATGATCTGCCCTGGATAGTCCAACTGCTCATCCAAGTCAAAGACTTGGAGGGGTGGGCTTCAGAAACCTTCGTTCCACAATTCAGCACCACTGTCCTTGAACCCGCCATCGAGCGAGCGAAACTAGTAGCCTCTAGACCGGACATAGCTGTCGGCGATATGATCCGCGATTCGTTCCCATTCCGCAAAAACATAGCGCCAGTTCGCGGTTCCAATGAGGGAGACCGCGGTGTCACGATGGAGGAGTTGAAGCTGCTGATCCCAGTCCTCAAACGTTTAGCGCTAGATCATGTCGTGGATAGGCTGGCGCAGAGGATGCTGATGGATTTTGTTGACCTCGATTTCGAAGACTTTCGCGGCGTGCTCGGCGATGAGAAGACAGATGAAATGATGGAGAAGAAGAGGGCGATTGAAGAGGCGAAGGAGGCAAAGAAAAGGAAGGCTGCTGATGATGGTGGAAGGGGAAAGAAGAAGAAGGGAAGAGGAGGTCGGCGATGAAGATGTCCAAGACATTTTCGCTAGTTTTTGCTCGCACGCAGACTACCTAGGTAAACTCGAAAGGAACTTAAACCTTAGCAAAAAGAACAGATACTACACTTCATGTAACGGTAACGCAAAGAGGTGCAGTAGGTATCGAATGAGGCGACCGTTCTTGCGACTCTGCGGCGCTCAGTCGTGGCTGCCTCAACTTTAATTCCACTGTCCCCTACCTAGGCAGGTACTTACTACCCATCACCGTTCTTGCGAAGCCTACATCCATCTGCTCTTACATTCACCTTCTACGACGTGAGTTATCGGTATGCGCATCGTTGTGACAGTTCGTTCGGTGGGCTGGACTGTTGCACTGTTCCCAGAGTAGGTCTGCTCCGCTCTTCGCGGGTTACACAAACCAGACTCCTCCGCTCATAACGACAGACCGACAATACCGAAGCGTCAGCGTCGTGTTGCGAATACAGCGCGCGTGTAAGAGATATCCGTGGTAGTATACGATCATTGCTGCGTCATCCAAGGTGGTGTCGCTGCCGCCAGCCCGCAAATCCGTATAGGTACGCAACCGCGGTGAACAGCGTCCTCAGCTAGTACTGCCGTACTCTTCCTTCTCTTTCATATGTCGATTGCTATGAAGACGTTCTCCTTATGATATAAACCCTACCCAGGTAGCTAGAACAGATTCCAGACCGCCCGCGTGGATGAACGTACCACGCTACTTGTTATCACAAGCTACCTAGGTAACTTCCAATCCAGCGCATACCTCTACGGCTCGGTATAGCTGACGCAAAACTAGAAGTAACAACCTCGTCACGATGGCGGCTCACAGAACCTCGACAAAGACGTTGGCGATTGGTACTGTGTTCGCCAACCTTACCTAGGTATTCAGGCCATACAGGTGGGCCTCCCGAAGAACCCGGGAATCTCGCCCAGATGAATTCGAGCGGACCTTCGACGTAGCAGCAGCGACATGGTGAGTAAGAACGCCATCGCTACCTAGGTACGAAATGCGCTGGCCGCCACGCCGCGTTAGTCGGTTCCAGCCAAATCGCCCTCACAGCTATGCAAGGACTCGCCTGAATCTATCAGCCTGTAGCAACAGAATTGTGCATATCTTATGCAACTCGACCTGCGACTCGTGTTCATTGCACAACGGAAGGTCGGCTCATTACAGAACTTGGACATCGAATCGCAGCCACTGTCCTTCTGCCTGTCCCCCACCTCGAGCTATCCACCGTCACCGCCCTCGCGTCCCACATTTACCCACCTTTGCGTCTTTCTACGGCTTTCCACGTCATCATCTCCCAGGCAACGCTCTTCGGACGCTAGAGCACTAGCGCCTCTCAGACTTTTCGCCCAGGTATATAAACCCACCCTCCTCCGTCCCTCCTTCTGCTCCTTAGCTCTCTTTGCCTTTTGGCTTAGATCAAGTGTAGTATCTGTTCTTTTCAGTTTAATCTCTGAGTACGTTCCTCTCCATCCTCTACGCTCGAAGATTTCGTCGCTAACACCACCGCAGAACGTTCCTACGGGAACTTCAAGATTATTCTTATTTTTGAAACCAGCCGGAGGATCCCTGGGCTTGCTCATATCCTCTGGCACAGTGTCGCCTCTATCGCACTATCTGAGGCTGACGCGAATTACCTTTTTCATTGAGACGATTGGCTTGCTCCAGTTGCTTGAGGAAGAAGATACGAATACGACTATGACGAATACATCACATTGTAATGAAGCTGAGAGCTGTTGCGCTCGTTGAGGATTTTGCTAGTGTTTGCGCGTCAGAAGTGGGGCAATGTTGAGCAACCACCTCGCTTATATAGGTACCTAACACGAACAAGCCCGCTGGTTCAAAGTCGTACGACACAACGGATGTCGCGTGTATGTACTCATCACTCTCGCAGTTCATAGGCTTACAAGAAGTAAGATGATGTATTCTTCTATACAGAGTATTCGTTGCAGCTTGCCAAACGTGAGCTTCTGCGCAGTCGCCCTACGAAAGCCCCACGCTCGAGAACGACAAATCCACGTCTATACACCGTATCTTGGTTCATTGATGTGTTGCTGTTGAAACCCTCAGATGTCCGTTACTTTCAGAACACCCAGATGTGTTTCGGTGTCGATAAGTGAGCTTTGTACTCCCAGTGCATGTATCCAGACATACCTAGGTACCTATCATCACGTGCACTTACTGAGATTGTTGCTGAATAGATATAGAAGTTTGCGGTTCCCAATTTAGCTTTCTGAGATTCCAATGACAAACAATCCTACTCTTCGGCAGTGGCACGGAGCGACCGCGTTGAGACCGGAAGATATATTACTGCTGACGCCAAGTGTTCAGGACTTGCCATATCAGACGAGCATCGTGGTACATGTCAACCCTAAGGTATATTGTCCCACATTAATGCGGAGTGTATCTGCTGAGAGCGCGAATGCGGCGAGCTTTGCCATTTACCCCGTGAACCAGGATTGACAAATGCTACACCAGCATCAGCATGCAACAAGTCTCATCGACGACCTAGGAAGCTTTCCACTCTGTGTTGTATTTCTTGCTGTAGATAGCAGCGACGGCATCAAGATGCAACCATGCGCCATGATATCAGCAAGTACATGCCGACGATGAAATCGAAGTATAAAGTCATGGTCGATTGCAACGAATATCCGCCACCCTCATCACTTCAACACCTCACCAAAGCAAACAAAGTCTCCACGCTCAATCACCATCATGCATTCCGTCTCCATCATCGCAGTGGCTTTTGGCCTCTTCGCCTCTCAGGCCACAGCTACGATTGCCCTGGGCAACAACGATAGTAACAACCGTAAGTCGTCAACTTTCTTAAAATTGATCTGAAATCTGACAACAGGCCAGTGATGTGGATCTACGGCGACAACTCATGCAGTGGGGTGGTCAACCCCAACTGCGGCTCCCCGGTGAAGCTGAGGAACGGTTTCAGCTGTAAGCACTGCCTCTGCTTCCCACAAACCCCAAATCACAGACGCATCCTTGTGCTGACTGCTTTCTGTACGCAGATGTTGTCAGAGGTTGCGGAACTGATACACGCTGGATCGAGAACGCTGATGGCGGTTTTAACGCTCAGTGCTCTCGCGTTAGCCCTCCTTTCGCCACTGATTGCGGCGTTCAGCTTACGTGGAAGTGTTGAGTGAATACTAGATGGTGGGAGGGAGGATCTCGCTGATGGACGAGTTCCAAGATTTATGACCGACACTGTCCTTACCTTTGTTACATGCTGAAGTATGTTTGGATTCTGGTGTTGGAATGGATGATGTTACACTCGTTTAGGGAGAGAGTTCTTGGATATTTGAAAGCGCTGCGCAGCCTTTGATTTGGTTCGCATCTGCAGTGAGGTGCTGTTGCTTGTGCCGCAGAGCTTGGTGTGCTCGGCTTTCGTGTGGTATTTGCTTGTCCTTTCCCAAGAGCATCTCTAAGACACGTACGACAACAAAATGACTGAAGCTGTCATAGTGGATGGCGGAGAGATGTGCTGCGTATATGGCAAGACTACTGTCTAAGGCTTGAGGAACATGTATATCGACCTTCAACCGCAAAGTGAGCGGACAGTCTCGGTTTGTCATTAATGCATGGGATAGATCGCGTAGAGGACGTGCAATACATCTGAAAGGTACCGATTGAGGAGACTGATACTTCGATCTTCATATAACATATTGGTGGACGTGGCGAAAGAAACAGCATCCCTCAGAATGTAGAGTGTATAGTTCATTTGGGCTCTTCCTAGCAGGAGTAGTGCATCAGCGGGACCAGGATCAAGCTCTCTCGCATCTTTACTTCTGCCTAAGATAATTAACTTTATTTGCAGAATGGGTAGCTGAAGCGACGGAGTAGCGTACATGTGTATCTGATCTACCGTGAACTCTCGCGGTCAGCACTAACAGTCCACCCGTTCCCTAAGTGCATGTTTCCGATGCAGCACGTCATAATGTATGATATGCCCATGGATACGCCTGGACGAATCAATCAGTTCTTGATGACTCCGGGATCGCGATGTAGAGTTCGGCTATAAACGCATTCTAGAACTTTACTCTTCAAGTGTACAATCTAGATTAGCCATTGAACCGGTGGCAGACCCAAAGACCATTTACAAGAAGCAGTAGAAGTCGTAGTATCGTGGAGACGTCCACCCCTCATATCTACTACACCTTGGCACTTCAATACCTTGAAGCACCTGAGGCACGAAAAGAAGGACTGGCGTTGGTGTTGTGGCTACCGAGCCGCGTGCGTCGGATTTACCTAGGTAGCCGTTGGGATAGCCTGGCAGGGCTGACGTTTCGTTTCAAGCCAGCGATTGTTTCGAATGACGGCACGATCCGCTAAGGCAGATTGATGGAGGTTGGACGTGTAAGAAGTTTGATAAGAAGGAAAAGCTTGGTACTGGCCGTTGATGCGGTGACGGAATCGTGATCCGAGTAGATGCGCGTGATGTGATGTGACGGTGGGGAAGAAGAAATGGTAGAGACTGCATGTTTCATGTGACGTCGCGGGGTGAGAAACAAGTGGCGTTTATTCGGAAATCGAATGCAGAAGCCACAAAGAGATAGGGAAGTCGTGATGCTGATTGTCTTGATGACTGCGCGCAGTAGGAAGCGCTTTCCGTAGATGCTGCGAGTCGGGAAGGTGCCACCTGGGCAGACTGCCATCGTCGCTTCCTTCTTTGGAACTCATCTCTAGCGCCTCATCGCTCTTGCACATTCTACGGTCGGTCATAATTCTCTTCGCTCAACGTTTGAAGAGCTTCATGTGCACTTTCAACAGTATTGCTTCATTTACCTCGCACGCCGCGGCACAACACAAGCACCAGCGACATTGCGGACGGGCGGGAGCCACACGCAAAATGGAAACAAACACCAGAAACGTGACGAAAACGGTTGAGCTATCGACCTCATTTCCGAGCGATCAGTCAACGTTCGCTGAGAGTCGAGAACATGCTCATGTCGCTCGTTACGAGAAGACAAGCTTTTGCAGGGACTAGGCGCGG